AAACAGTTGGAAATTATGGCCTACTCATCGGAACGATTTGCTTGCTGTTCACTACGAGTAATCATTTATCTTACCTTTCTTTTATCATTTTTCCTATAATTAATTTATTGCAAAATTTTTGAATTAAATATTTATTGAATTGATTAATTAAAATCTTAAAGGTATAATTATTGAATTGACAAAATTTTAGCATAGAAATATAAATTCGATAATAATTATTAGGATTCATTCATTCCAATTAATTAGATATTTATCACTTGATTCATTCCAATTAATTAGATGTTTATTGTTTGATTCATTCCAATTAATTAGATATTTATCATTTGATTTATTCCAATTAATTAGATGTTTATTATTTGATTCATTCCAATTAATTATTCGATATTTATTATTTGATATATCTATTACATTAAATTTGAATTTTTAAGCTAAAGTTTCCTGTATCACATCTAAGGAAGGTACCAGGTGCGCAAATTACCCAATTTTAGAATTTTAAATTAATTTTAAATTACCCAATTTTAGAGAGAGGTGATAGTGACGAAAAATAACGAGACCGTATTTTCATAATCATTTGCATCACTTACATTAAATTTAAAATTAATTATCATCTCTTTGGAATTTTAATTTGTTCCTATTAATTAATAGAAATTCAAAATTTTCAAATTTTTTCATACAAATTTAATTTTCAAATTTTATTTAGAATTTCTAAAATAAATAGCAAATGATAAACTTCTGAATTAAATTTTGAAATTTTGGAAGATGTCATTTAATTTTAAGTTTAATGCAAAGCTAACATTTGCAATATTTACAGACAGCTGGCTTAATAGTAGCAATAACTGAACTGCTAATATGTTTGGCAGCCATATATGGCCTTATCCGAAATCTTCAACTTTTCGGATCTTACTATTTACTTTGGTTTATTATTGGTTTGTGATTTTCGTTTCTTAATTATAATTAAAATTGATGAGTTACTGGAATTTTTGACAATTAAGCATAATTAAGAATACATTAATACTTTAGTATATTATATAAAAATCATTAAAATTACCATTTACTTAAATGAATTTAAATAGAACAAAAACAATGTTTGGTATTATTCGTTTATCAATCATTACAAATTATTATTACAATTAAAATTTAATTAATTTTTCCTAAGATTCAAAATTGGAACTTAATTGCTCATTACAAAGTGAATAAAAGTGATAATTATAACACATATTTGTAATTGTAATTCATATCGAAATTTTAGTTCGACCTGGAAAATTACGAATTACGAACTAATTATAGACCTGGAAAATTTTTAATATTCTTATCAGAATTATCATTCTGATAAGAATATTAAAAATCTCAATTGCAGATGTTTCAGTATAAATTAGAGGAAAAGTTACAGCATAAATAGATCCCTTAATTACTTAAAAACCATAATTAAAATGAAAATTAAATCAAAGAGTTAAATTTTGTTCAATTTTAATTGTTTCAAAACTAATCATTTATAAGTTCAATTAATTTTTAATTTCTCTTAATATTACTAATTTGTTTTTTTTTTTACTTATAGTAAATTCATTTTATAATACCAAAGATAGGTAATTAATAGAATTCATGATTTCGTAATAAATTAAATTTAAAAAAGTCTCAATTTTCTTTTAGGTATTGTAAGTGTAATTATAATATTAATAGTAATTGCGCTACTATTCTATGCCATCAAAACTGAAAATGGCCGTCTTTTAATACCACACCTTTCCGCTCAGGTTTGTTGTTAAATTGTTGTTTGTTGAAATTTCAGCAATTTCAATCTTCTTATTTTATTTCTTATTTTTTAGTCTTATCAAAGAAATAAAATGAATATAAAATGCTAATGATAATTAGCAAAAATAAATCAATGAATTATATTTTTCTAAACATTTATCAGTGGTTTGATAAGACCAGTTAAATTAAATAATTATAATTTTAAACTTTGTTATACAATTAATTAATTGAATTAATTTTTTAATTTAATTATTGCTAATTTTTATTCTTTTTTATTTATAATTTTTTGTCTTATGATAAATTCTTTATTTACTAGATTATTTATTACAGAAATTTTCTTTTATTCTCTCTTATCTCAACTAAATTCTTTTATTTAATTATCTTTTCTAAATCTAACTTATTTATACTTATTAATGATATATTTATATATACATATATTAATTGTATATTAATTGTATATTTAAATTTATTATCAGTATAATAATAGTTTGCTAAGAGAAAGTTAGTGCATAATAAATTTGTTTATCATATTACATTATCATTTTACATTACAATTTTCTTACGTTATAATTACAATATGTTAGCGGCAGCACACATTGTTTGTGATTAACATACGTAAATTGTAATATGTAAAATGATAATGAATTGGAAATTTTAGAATTTCCTCGTAAAATTATTTCGAAATTTTATAATGCTTAGATTACGAAAGTAATAGCGCTTTTTAAGTTGTAATAAATTATATGCCAAAATTATTTCGCTGCTAAATGTATCAGAAATTGTTGGCAAAGTTTTAGTCACATTTAATTTAAATTTATTACATCAAAAAAAAATAATATCAAATTATCAGTGCACTTTACTACTGATAGCTTACTTTTGCAAATATCATCACTATTGATAGCTTTACTTACTTCAAATATTCACCTATTGGATATATTGATTTTCAACAATGTTGAAAAATCATTTATAAATCTTATTTGCGTCATCAACAGATGTGTGTGTATGCATAACATTTCGAATGTTTGTTAAATGATTCATAAAATTAAACTGTTCATTTTATTATACATTAAAAAAGTTTTAATGGAAGCCTTTTTTTCATCTTCCGATTTTAAAAATATTATTGAAAAAAGAAAAAGATAAATAAAATCCATTTCAAATTTTCAATCTATTCGGTAACATTTAAAATGTTTGGATATTTTGGAAAGTAAAAAATGAAAAAAAGAATTAGAAACAATATTGTGTATTGTTTTAAGGATTAATTAATTTAGCAATAGTCGGCAAAATATTGAGAGATAATTAATGGACAATTAGTAGTAGACAATTAATTAATTAGATTTTGATTTTGGTAACAATTAATTTGATTTTTGATTTTCTGTTAATGCTAAGTTTTAGTGTTTATAAATAACTTACTGAAATCTTCCAAAGAAGAAAATGATGAAATTAAAAAATATTATCAAATCTTTGCAAAATTAAAAATTGAGACAAATAATTTGATAAACAAAAATTGAGACAATTAATTTGATAAGTAAAAATTGAAACAATTAATTTGATAAACAAAAATTGTGACAATCAATTTAATAAACAAAAATTGGGACAATTAATTTGATAAACAAAAACTGAAATAATTAATTTGATAAACAAAAGTTGTGACAATCAATTTGATAAACAAAAATTGGGACAATTAATTTGATAAACAAAAATTGTGGCGATCAATTTGATAAACATTAATTGTCCTGATAAACAAAGATTGGGACAAATAATTTGATAAACAAAAATTGGGACAATTAATTTGATAAACAAAGATTGGGACAAATAATTTGATAAACAAAAATTGGGACAATTAATTTGATAAACAAAAACTGAAATAATTAATTTGATAAACAATAACTGAAATAATTAATTTGATAAACAAAAACTTTTATTGCATTAATTAATGCGAAAATAATAATTTAATTATTATTATTTTCAACGTTTACAAATAACTTTACTAAAATCATCCAAAAAATTGTTGAAATCAAAAGATATCAAATCTTTGCAGAGTTAAAAATTGAGAATATTAAACAAAAACTTTTACTGCAATAATTAATATGCAAATAATAATTTAATTGATAATGATAATTAATTTTGAATAAAATTTTTTAAGTAAATATTTTGAAAAATATAATTATAATTATTTTGAATCCATTTTATAATATCACTTCATCAAAATAAAAGAAAGGTAAATGATGAAATGATAATTTCTATTTAATTTAATCAATCAATTATAGATATTTTTGATATTCTTCCTGATTATTGTGGCATTTGTTGTTGCGCTATTGCTAATTTTTGGTGCATACCGCGGTATTCGAAATCTTCTTGGACATGCAAATTATCATATCACCGATGATGGTTTCGTTCTTTTTTCATTTAATTACAATTCCTTTTTTTTTATTTTCGATATTTCAATTCGTAATTTCTTTTGGCCTAATTTTTATTATTATTATTATTTGAAGATTTGCTGAAGTAGTAAAAGTAATGAATGAATTTTGAAATTTGAAATCTTAATTTTTCATTGCATTTATTTTACTTTGAGAGGAAATGAATTAGGGAAATGAAATATTATGAAATTTAAATAAAATTCATACAATTTGGAATAAATTTTGCTATTTTTTTTTTCAAATAATTTTTGTCCTAAAATATTTGCATAAATTTAGGAAGAATGATAGTTTTTGGAATGGATATCTTTATCCAATTTTTGGAATTCCTAAAAAAAAATGAAAAAATAGAAATGAAACGGAAATAATGCATAATTTCGGACGAATGATAGTTTTTGGAATGGATAAAATATATTCCTAAAAAAATGAAAAATAGAAATGAAAAATTTGAATAATTGTTGTTTATATTTTGCTTGTTTCTTAATGAAAATTTTCAAAGATTTTTTTCAAGACTTAATTTAATTACTCAGAATTTATTATGTTATTTAATATGAAAATAATTTTATTCTTAATTCTTAATACGTAATTTTATTCGTTTATTCTTAATTTAAAATAATTATAAATATTACCGTAAAAATAATTTTATTCATTCCTTTGTTCTTAATCAAAATAATTACAAATATTAATTACTATGCTTAAATATTGATTTTTTTTTTTTTAGAATTTTATCACAACTTATCTATTATAAAAGCTTCCATAGCTTTCTATAATAATATCAAATAGTTTTTGTTGACAAATAATTATTATGTGTAATTGGTTTTAGCAACTATAACACTTGGCTATATGATTATTGTGATATATCTTGCATTGGCAATACTGGAAATGCTATTTCTTTATATTATTTATAGGCTTTACAAGTAAGAAATTTCATTTCAAAATTTTCTTCATATTTATTATTATTTGCATAAATAGGATTTGATAATTATTGAATAGCAAATTCATCTAAAATTTCAAATCTCATAATAATTAGAATAATTTTCGAAATTTTAATTATTTACATTTTTTTTAATAAAAGGTATCATTTTACTCATCATCATATTAAAGTTTCAACGATTGAATAGATCTTTGATACATACATGTTTTGTATATGTATTATAGTCGGAAAAATACTACCAGATATTTGTTGTACCTGGTATGATGTTGTTAGATCTATTCCGGAAAATCCGGAAAATTTGGATTCCAAAATATTTTAATCAATTATGAACAATTTAAAGGCATAGCGGTAGTATTTTCAGCTGGGATATCTATATTTCATGATATCTCAGATATGGCATAGTATCAGTATTTTCATCCAAGCTATCTATACTTAGTGATATCTCATAAATAGCTCATTATCAAATTATCTTCATAGTTCTAGTCTTTTTTTAATAAAGCCATCATTTTCTTAAACATTTGCAATTTAATTGTACTTTAAAATTCAATTAATTTAAAATACAACAACGGGAAATTAAAAGAGTTGCATATAATCAATGATAATTTGATGATAAGAATTATGCAAAATGTTCATTTTTAGGCATTTTAATCGATATCTCTTGATCGGTTCAGATGATCCATTCTCCAAGAAAGGTTCTCGTCATCATATTTACACAGCCACATGGCAAATGCCACCAAAAACAGCTGCTAATGGAATCGGATCACCAGATTCCGGTGATCTATATCCCTACAGTCCATAAATATAACAATTATTGATTGATCAGTTGATTCTCAATTATATATATATATATAAAAACGACAATTATTAGTCGATCTTTTGGCCGATCAAACAATTATTTGATTTTGTCCAATCATTATTTTTGTGTGCATAGTGCATAACCCAATTATTGATTATTTCACTAATAAACATCAGTTTTATTAATAATACTGTACAATATCTATTTTGTTAATATCAGTATTGAAAAGAGTTGAATGTATTTAAATTCAAGTGCTATCATTATTTAAATTTAAAATGTTACCATCTTCTATCCGTTTCTCTTAACGCCACTTCCGTTGACTTCCTATCAATGTGCTGTAATTAATATTACTTTCTTTGGTATAAGCGATGAGGATAAAATATTTAAAGAGTACCTTATGAATATTATTTCTCATAATTGATAATTGATAAGAGATGGGACGATCTTCTCTTCTCTTACTCTATCAGTATCATACGATTCGATTCGAATCTAATCAACAGTTCATAACCCATTTAAATATACCTTATATTAATGTGTATTTATTATCTTTAGCTTTGTATAGTTTTATCAGAAGCCTTCCTTCTATCATCATTAAAGGCTGATGATAGGAAGCTCATGTCACATGCATGCACACATAACAAATATATGACGAAATGCAACATTGTTATCTCATGGATTATCTTGTTACCTAATTAACAAATTATTAAAATTCAAAACGAAATGTGAATTGCAATCTTTCTTTCCTTTTCCATCTTCGTTTTCCTCTTCATCATATATATGTTTGTAGTTTACTTTTTCTTTTATATTCAATTCTCGTGACACCACAAATTTCTCATCCAACTTTTGTGACACCACAAATTTCTCATCCAACTTTTTTGACACCACAAATTTCTCATCCAAACTTTTGTAACACCACAAATTTCTCATCCAATTTTTGTGGCACACAAATTTCTCATCCAAGCTTTTTATGGTCTTTTTCCCGATATGAAATGGATATCATCCCTTTTTGTCTTGCTTTACCTTTATCATTTTCCCGTACAGCCTCTCACATATTGGCATGTTACCTTTATTGTTTGTCATTAGTATGACTTTTCTTTCTGAAACCGAATGATATTTTGAAGTATTTTAAATGAAAGCATAAAAAAGTACCAGCCGAATAGTATTTGAATTATAATAAAATTGAGAATAAAATTAAAATTTCAAATTTTATTTATTTTTTGCTAAAAATTTCAAATGTTAATTTATTATTTTTCATTATGCTTTTTTCTTCCTTTGAAAAATTGTTATTACTTATAATATAGCTTATAATATATGCTTATAATATTACTTATAACATTACTGTCATTACTTATAATATAAGCGAAACTAATGGATAAAATAATTGAGAAATAATTTGTTTGTAAGAATCATTTAATGGAAGTTTTTGCTTTTGTTTTCTGAACAAGAATCTTAACGTATCTGAAGTTATAATTGAATCTTAACGTATTGAAGCTATAACGGAATCTTAACGTACTATAATGGAATTTTAACGGAAGAATTTTAACGTATCCGATGCTTTAATCGAAGTTTTTGTTTTTGTTTTCTGAAGAAAAATCTTAACGTATCTGAAACTATATTAGGAAATCAGCTATACATGATCGGATTAATATTACCAACCTTTTAACATACGATAAAATTTCACTTGTTACTTATCTAAAATTAGAAAGAGATATCAAAATGAAAAGCTTTGTTACAACTTTTAAATGATCATTAATATTTCATCAAATAGGTCAACCGTGCTCATTCGTTTTTACGCTAAATGGATCGTAGCCGATATGATTAATATTATTATTTCAAGTGTTACCACCAGCTGATTCGGATTACTGCCATTATAATATTCACAATTAGTAAAATATGTATAATGGAAAGAGCAACTACTAATCATCATTCATATTACCTATGATAATGAGCATTTTATCCTTCTATTAAAGGATGGAAATATGTTGAAGATTTAAAATTATTATTTTAATTTTAGGATGAAAATAATGCAGAATGCATGTATTTCAAATCTTTGTCAATTTTTCATTTCTTTTTTTATGATCTTAAATATTTCCTTTTTGATAAATTTAATTGTACTCTAATTTGGCTTTTGTTTTAAACAAAAGAAATTAGTTCATTACATTTTTATTTTTTCAAAATATACTAAATTTAAATGGCAGAAATTATTCTCATCAAAAAATATTATAATAATTAAAGTAAGAAGTCGAAATAACTTTTTGAGCTATTATATTTAAATTAAAAATTAGTCCGAAAATAATTCTGCAAAAAAAGATAATAGACTTAATTAATCGTAATAAAAATTAAAATCATTCAATGATACAAAAAAAAGACAATGCAAATAATATTAACCTGAATTAGATAAGTTTGAATTAATTCATTGCTAAAAAAATTTTCAAGAAAAGAAATTGAATTTATCAAAGACAAAGCGAATAATATTAACCTAAAATTAATTTATTCTTATCACAGACAAAGCGAATAATATTAACCTGAAATTAATTTATTCTTATCACAGACAAAGCGAATAATATTAACCTGAAATTAATTTATTCTTATCATAGACAAAGCTAAATAATATTAACCTGAAATTAATTCATTCCTAAAAAAATTTTATACTAAATTTCTATGAAGAAAAATTTCAATTTGTGATTATTAAATTGATAACATAATAATTAATCATTGCTGGCTGTTTAATTCTTATAATCAATCAATCATAAATTCATCAGTTTCAGTTTTTCCCCCTTTTTCCTCAATTATATGATCAAAAAAACAACTTACTATTCAAATATGAATTAGCTGCTGGTCGTCAGTAAATAGCTTATGCATCATTATCTGATGCAATATGAGTAATAATTAGAACTTGGCTAAGTGAAGATATTGTTGCGTAACATTTTAGTGTTTATTATTGCATCGAAAAATTTGATACCTTCAATAACCACATACAGACACACAGACATATATATACACACACACACACACACACATATATTCATTTATGTGATATGTGATCTCAACCTATTTACCATTTCCTAATCCAAGAGAAATTTTCAGGCTGCCAGTCAAATATTTAGGACAGCTGACGTTAAGTATTATGATTTCTTAACTATGAATTTTGATATATTTACATGAAATTGATACTAATTGGCTTTTTAAAAAATTAAAATTTCAAAGAAAAACAATGGGGTAAGAATTTATCATCAATTTTATTTGTTTTTGCTAAAAGATAAATTAGCAAATGTGATAAAAATTAATAAAATTATTGATAAAATATCTGAGATGACATGGCAATGTTGTTATCACTATCTTTTTATGAATTTAAATTTTTCCAAAAAATTGAATCTTTGCAAAGTCTGTTATTACTATACATTTTACTACTATGCATCAGTTGTCGGATATGAACTTAATGACCTATTTGTTTACTTTAATCCCTTTTATACTTAATTGCTTATTTGACGTTTCGAAGTTATTTATTTATGTGATAGCTAATATGGGACTAATTCCATTTGAAACTGGCCAAGTTTTTGTATCAATACATTTGCAACATTCGAAACGAATGTTGCACAATGATGAAGATCATTGAATAATATGTAACTATCCTAAAATAGCTTTCTCAATTTTGATCAAAAATGCAAGATCATGATGATGAGTAATATATAGCTATCCTAAATTGGCTTCTTCAATTTTCATCAAAAATGCTTCATTAGCAAGATCAGAAATTCAAGATCACAGTGATGAATAATATATAGTTATCCCAAAACAGCTTCTTCAATTTTGATCAGAAATGCTTCATTAGCAATTTAGCAACTAATTAAAATGGAATAACTAAAATGGCATAATTTAAAAAGGTTAAAAAGATTAATATGTATTATAAATAAATTACTTTAAAAAAAATTTATACATAACTATATATTCATATATGCAGTATATATGCAGTATGCAGTATGTAGTATATTATGCAGTAGGAAAAAATATGCAGTATATTTATATATGCTTATATATGCATGTATTAATGCAGTATATTTATATATGCAGTATTTTATCGGAAAAAAATAACGATTTCGAAAATTCCAATTATATTTGAAATTTGGAAATTTTAGGAGAATTCGAAATTTGTTTACATTTTCCATCAAAATTTGTTTACATTTTTAAAACAAAAGAGCAAAATTGGTTTTGCAATTTAGTTAGTCCCATTTTTTTTTTCATTACATTTCCGCAAATGATGTTGATTATATTTGATATGAAAGGATACTGTTATATCAAATATCATATCGATGCATATCGTCTAGCAACGTTCAATATCACATAAACAAATGGTAGCATATTGGATGAAAAATTGTATACCATAGTGGAAGTTAAACTTAGTCAAATAGTTGATGGTAAACAATATTAGGATATAATTAAAGGATGATGTCGCCTGAGATAATTCTCATCAATTATCATTTTTTATTACTTATCTTTGATTTGGTATCATTACGACATATTTCAACAAAGATTACTACTGCTAATGTTGACATCAGATATCATAATGGTAAGATAATAGGCTTATTAGTTTCTTTTCTTCTTTTATTTGTTTAAATTTTATGATTGGAAATTTTTTTCACTTTCTTTTTTTCGAGAACTTAAATGCTTCTAAAAAAAGATTGTTAATTATCAGTAATTTATCATAGATTATATGATAATGATTAGTACATGAATATCACGATTTTTCTTTGAATTGTTGGTAAGATGTCGGTAAAGATGAAAAATTCAGGTAAATATTAACTTTTTAGAGACATATTTCTTATATAGGAATTGTTGGAATAAATATTGAAGAAAGAATGTTAAATTAATAACTATTGAAATATTAGATTAACAGTAAGGTCATGAAGTATAAGCCTTAGATTTTAAGGTCATAAAGTATAAGTCAAATCAGTGACATCTGTCAAAATGGCATCAAATAAATGATAGCATATAAATTTGAGATTTTAAGGTCATTTAAGGCCATATGTAAAAAAATAGACCTTTCTTCTTTTGAAATACTATTAAAAAACTAAAAACCTATCGGATATAAGTTAATAAAGTTAACAATATTAATCGTAAATATTCATCAAAATTTCTGAATCAATAGATTTTACAAAAATAATAAACAAAAAATTGGTTAATTTCAGTAGGTCAATCATCATCAAATATACATGTTATAGAATGCCCACATGATTGGGCACGTTATCAACGTACCAAATCATGCTTTCATGTCATCGAACAACGAATGCGTTGGTCAGAAGCAGAACGAGCATGCGCTAATTTTGGTGGACATTTAGCATCAATTACGGATGAATATGAAAATATATTTGCTTTTAGTAAGTTTTTCAAATTTTATATTTTAAATTAAAATTTAAATTTTTCGAAATCTTTTAATGAATTAAATTAATTTATGAAAATTTAATAAAGTTGAAAAAAAAATTTGTATTTCATCTCAAACGAAGAAAAAAAATGAAATAATTAAATTATTAATCATTTATTTTTAAGATATAGCAAAGAAGGCAAATTTATCAACACCAACATTATGGTTAGGACGATTGGTTAAATTAACACGTACCGGAGAATATGAATGGAATGATGGTACAGCAGGACGACATGTTGATGGTTTTCGAGGTGGTGAGCTTTTTCATTTTAAACGGATAATTAACAGGATAAACGGCTAATTGATTTTAAACGGATAATTAAAATTTTTTATTTTAAACGGATATTTAAATAGCTTAAAGGGATAAAAGGATAATGAAAGTTTTTTATTTTAAACGAATATTTAAATAGCTTATCATTAATATAAAAATATCACATGTGATCTTGATCATTCTAGAATTACCATCTGGAGCAGATTTATGTTTAACAATGTGGCTTGATTTTGATCGTCCAGAAGAATCCTGGAATGAATGGGATTGCAATTATGCTTCCGGTTATTCCGCATTATGTAAACGTTCAATGATGAAGACGCCATCAGTTACAACAACTGGTATTAGTTTATTTTTCGTCACTTCTTTTTTTTTAAGCAAATAATATGTTGAAGAGAAATGAATACGGAAATTATTCTATGAATTGACCGTTTCAATTTCAATTTTTCATTTTTTGTTTAATTAAAATTTTTTCTGATAAAGTCATAAAATTTAAATATGTGATTTTAAAAGGGAAAGAAATAATAAATTGTGGTATATTTTAATGAAAAGTTCGATCGAACGAATTTAACTCTTTTGTTTACTCGTGAAAATTTTCCGTAGTACCTGTGGAAAATTAATATTTATCTAATGTGAACATTCCTTTTCATTGCTATTGAATTCGCTATTTGCAACGAATCCTTTTGTGCTTTTAGCGAAACCAAACATCCGATCGAGTATTGCTTCCAGTTTATCATATCGTAGTCGTCGATGTTGTTTGATTTCATCATTATGTCACAATGCTAGTAAACCATGCACATCTGAAGAACGCTGTATTCCGGATGATTTGGATTGTTGGACGAAAAATTGTACTGGTGGTGGGATTGGTTGGTGTCTACCCCTTCCAAAAATTCAATTTATACCTTGAATGATCGATCACTAAAAGTTGCCATGTCTTTCATGACGATTTAGTTGGATCTCTAATTTTGGCTAACGTTTTCGAATTTTTCAAACCCATCCAAATTTTCGGATTAAACTTATTTACAAATAAAACCAAGCTTAATCTTACTTGCTAATGCTCTTTGCTCTGAACTTTCCAATTAATATTTTTGCTTCCTGAATTTTGTTGAAAATTTCAAATGTTGAAGTTTTATGTATCGTCCACAAAAATTATATGTAATAATCTAAAAGATTAATTGATAATTGATAAATTGATATTATTTGATAATTTCTTTTGTTGTTTTTGCTATTAATTATGTTTTGAATGAAAAAATATATTTCTTATTTTTGAATAAAATCAATGATATTTTTAATAAAAAATTTTGAAATAATAAAATTCTAACGAATAATTTGTTTACAGATGTTAAATATGGAATAATATCCAATTCATTTGAATATTTATATATATATATATATTAATGAATCAAGCAGTAGTAAATAAGCATTTGATCATTTTAAATTTATTTTTCAAATTTAAAATATTTCAAATTGTCACGATTTTGTTAAATTTGAATTTCATCCGTTAACTTAAGCAGGAAGAAGTTGAATTTCGATTTCATTCGTTAACTTATGTGGGAAAAAGTTAAATTTAAATTTCATTCGGTAACCTTATATAGGAAAAAGTTAAATTTAAATTTCATTGTTAACTATGTAGGAGAAAGTTGAATTTCGATTTCATTCGTTAAGTTATGTGAGAAAAAGTTGAATTTCGATTTCATTCGTTAACTTATGTAGGAGAAAGTTGAATTTCGATTTCATTCGTTAAGTTATGTGGGAAAAAGTTGAATTTCGATTTCATTCGTTAAGTTATGTGGGAAAAAGTTGAATTTCGATTTCATTCGTTAACTTATGTGGGAAAAAGTTGAATTTCGATTTCATTCGTTAAGTTATGTGGGAAAAAGTTGAATTTCAATTTCATTCGTTAACTTATGTGGGAAAAAGTTGAATTTCGATTTCATTCGTTAACTTATATAGGAAAAAGTTAAATTTTGCGATCGTTTTCAATAATCTCAAAAAAAAGAGACTTAATAGTTTTTTCTATTAATTTTCATTATTTCTACAAAACTTTTAAAACGTTTAGTAAAGTTTTGAAGAAAATAAAAAGGTACGATCTATTTGATGATATATTGTAACATAGTCAATACTTCTACTCTTCCATATATTTTCCACAATTTTGAGTATTATAATTTATGTGCTGTTTTGAGGAAATCCATTTCACGTTTTTCACGTAATAGCTATGAAATTTACTTTTAATGCAAAAGAAAAATCTCACGATTTCTTGTTTTTAATCTCACGTTTCAATTGTCTCTCATTCATTTTCATCGAAACAAATTATCTTACACGCCACACGTAGCGTATTTAACGTTGGTGACGTTGGTGACGTTGGTTGGTGGTTGGTATTATCTTACATGTGATGTATTATCTTAAATTATCTTACACGCCACACGTGACGGTTTATTCAATGATACCAAAAATGCTATTGGGAATATTTTTTTCATTCATTCTTATATGAAATATTACTTATATGAAATAATGCATAATTTACCAATGACATTTTATTAGTAAATAATATTTTACATTTTAATAAGAAAAGAAAGATTTTAAATTTTACATAGTAAAGAATTGAAATTTAAAGTATCCGATTGGTATAGTTTATTTTTAATTCAAGAAAGGTGTCAGATTTTTGTTTACAAATCGTGTTTTTCAAGACAATTAAACAAGAAAATATCTTTTCTTCCTGCCACATTTTTATTTGCAATGAAAATGAACAATTAATGTTAATGATTGTAAGGTAAAGGTAAGTTGTATTAGATAATAAGACAACAATTTTACTCATCGAAACTTTGATTTCTATTCAAACTTTTATCATTCTTTTACCTTTGATTCTTTCTTTACCTTTTACCTTTAACTCTTTTTATATCTTTATAATTTTGCTTTCATTCATTTTTCTAATATCATAATGAATTAATCGTAATTTGAAGTTATTATAGTATTTTCAGACTCTTTTTGTTTTATATCAAAATTTTAAATTAATTGCTAGATTTGTAAAAGCATGAAAGATTAGATTTTAAGAGAAAAGAAAACAAATGAAGAGTGGATGAGTAATTATTAGAGTAATTTTTAGAGTAAATTAAATTAAATTATTAAAGTAATTATTAGTAATAAATTATTAGAGTAATTATGAGTAATTATTTTGAACTTTCAAAAATTATGAATTTCTTAAGTTAACTTTTAGAATTCAAATCCTTCTAAAAGTTTAACTTATAACTTAACAATTATTATTTATCAAATATCTCTTCGCTTTGCAAGTTAAATATTAACTTTAAAAATTTTCAGTTTATATTTTGTAAACTAAAAAATTGTATCACACATAAAATATTTTCCATTTATTTGATTCAGTTTTTCTTTCATATATAATTTTTTAAAACATTAAATTGGAATTAAAATTGAAATGAAAAAAAAAAACGAGGAAATAATTAATTAATTATTCCATTTAATTAATGAGGGAAAAATTAACTAGACTGAATTATTTTGTTTAAATTTTAAATTATTGGCTCAGTTTATATTTTTCTCATATCAAATTTGCAAATTTATTATAATCCTAAATTAGAGCATCGATGACTTTTTGTGTGAAAGAAATCTTTTATTTTATTTTTCCTTATTTTTCTTTCCCATACTAAATGGATGAGAATGACAAAATTAATGTTGACTGGTTGCATGCATGCATGCATACATGCATAACTTGCATGCATATATATTTAAAAATGAATCGATAATTTGAAAAATGATATGTTTGCATTTCAATCTACGATTATGTGAAAGAGTGAAAACTTCCACTTAAAAATATCATTTAAATATCGGGAAGAAATATAGCTAGGATAGGATCGGGATAAGGAGAGAAAAGTGTAGGAATTTATTGGGATGAAATTTATAAGATTTATTAGGTCATACTAATTTTGTATAATTTAATCTAATAATTCATCATTATTCATATTTTTCCATGTGTTCAAATTGTATTCATTTTTTGCAGTTAGAAAAATAGGAAATCAAAAATGATATTTTAAATTTATGAAATTTGATCATTTTTTTAATTTAGTTTTCTTTTGTTTTTTTAAATTATATTAATTGAAATACAATTTTTGAAGTTTAGAAATTAAAAGCATAATTTTATATTCTTTTTTATATAATTATTATTAAGTGATGAAATTTTTAAAAATTAAATTGAAATTAATTAATTAATAGTTAACTAATAGTTAACCAAATTCATTTTTCAGCTATATTATTTTGGTATTCGTATTTTAAAAAGTAAATATTTTGTTTTCCTATTTCAAAACTTCTTCATTTTTAGTGGAATAAATTTTTACTAAAATGATTTAAAGACAGACAGAGAGAGAGAGAGAAAGAAAGAGAGAGAGAGGGGAAAAAGAAAAACGGAGAATATCTTTAATTTTCTGGATATTTTCCATATTTTCAATGCATAAATTATATATGAACATTTTAGTAAATAATAACTTTCTTCCAAACTATCATAGTATCACACACAATCATTTTAATCATTTATATTAATCAAGTAATTAATTTAATTAATAGAATTAAGATGAAATGAATATATCAATACAAAGATAAATTATAAAATTGTTCATATTCTATAGTTATTTTTTACCTATTTACTCGTATACTTATATATGATTAATGATACTTCTATGACGAATTAAACGAATAGTTATAAGTAAATAAAAATTAAATTTAATTTAACTATACAAATTTATAAGTATTTGTAAGTATTTGATTTATGATATATTATAGATGAGAAGAAAGATGCGTTCATTTTCATTTAAAAAAATTTATAATTACATATGTAATTAATAATACAATTAATAAATAATATTGTAATCAAGTAAATATTGATTTTAACCATAAGAATAATATCACTTCTCTCTCATATATATATATATATATATATATATATATGATATCAAAATTTACAACAGTTAATTTAAAATCTAATATTCAAATTTAGGATAGTTAATTTAAAATAACTTTAAAATAAGTTTCAATGATATTTTTTTAATGTAAATAAAAACATTGAAATTTCTTGGTATACGGTAGTTAACGGCTGCTTAGTAGTGTTGCAAATATTGAATTGATAGGGTTGGTAGCAGTTTAAAATGTGAAATGATGATAGTGAATATTAGCAGGGAGTAAAAAAAAATAAAGTTAGTTAATTGGCAGGGAGAAAGAAATGAAAAAGGTTAGAGAAAAAGAGAGAGAGAGAGAAAGAAAGAAATGATATAATGATAAGAAGATAGAAAGAGAAATCTATTCAATCCTTTCCGCTTTCCTCTTCTTTCAGTGAAATAATTATACAACATCATTAGTCATCATTTCTCTCTTTCTCTCTCTCTCTTCCTCTCTCTCTCCCAGGATAATTTCTTTCATAAATTCATTAATTGAGTGAAATTTGCTAGAAAAAACTTTTTACTGAAAATTTGATGAGAAGAAAATCTCGTCATTAAATCTGCTATTTTATTATCACCGAAGGCAAAAATGCTACAATTTGATGGTACAAATGATAGTATTAAAAGTAATACGGTAGGTTTATTATTTCTCTTCTTCTTTTCCTATTTTAATTCAAAAGAAAAATATGAAATGATTTTTTTCATTAATTGAATATTAGAAATGAAATAGATTAGTCATTTCGAGTATTCGATTATCATTTCTTCCGTTGGTACTTGATTTTCTGGAAGAAGTGAAATATATTTTTTTATTAGAAATATTAATTAAAGTATATCAGAAATAATATTTCATATCAAAAGTACTTAAAATGTATTTAAAATCACTTCATGCGATATTAATTAATTAATTATAAATGATTTTTACTACATTCTTTTTTTGTTATAAAAATTAGAAATGAAAAGATATTGTAAAATATGAAATGATTTTTTCATTAAACATATTATTTGAATATAAGAAATGAAATAGACTAATCATTTCGAGTATTCGATTATCATTTCTTCCGTTGGTACTTGATTTTTTGGAAGAAATGAAATATATTTTTTATTAGAAATATCAATTAAAGTATATCAGAAATAATATTTCATATCAAACGCACTTAAAATGTATTTAAAATCTCTTGCATACGATATTAATTAATTAATTATAAATAATTTTTACTACGTTCTTTTTTTGTTATAAAAATTAGAATTGAAAAAATATGTATATATTCAAGGGATCAGTCTTTTTCTTTGCTTACTTCATATTTGTACGTTTACATCAAATAATTTCCTATATTTCACATTGTCCTTTTTTTCTTTTCTTTCATCTCTCTCTGTCTTTTAGAAAAAGGTCAAATTAAGGGGATCAAATTGAAATATTACCTCTTTATTTTCTTTTCCTTTTTAAGAAATCATAACAAAAAAAGGGCAATAAACAATAAATTGTATAATTTCTTTTTTTGCAACTTTTACAAAGGTATATTTTATACCTTTATACCTTTACCATTAAAATTAAATTATTTTCATAATTCATTTGCTATAACCTATAAATAAGAAAAGAGTCATATTATGCAAAGCTATTAACTTTTTACAAATGATGTAACAGTAAACGATGATAGGAGGAATTTTAATTCATAATTGCTATTGTTGCATCAATGTTAAGTCCACTTCAAAATATTCTTCGCTTCTACATCTGTTCTGAAATTCGGTATCGATATCAAAAATTGTTACATAATATTGTGACACAATATTCTTTCTCTCTCTCCCTCTCCTCTTTATCCTCTCTCTCCTTCCTCAAATACGGGAAAGTAAATAATTTTTGGTTACAAAATTATTTTTTTCAATTTATTCAAGATTTATTTATTCCTATTCTTTCTTCTTAAATTATTGTAATAAATTTTACTACCATATAAAATTATGACATTTTAAATTATAGTACTAAGTTTTAGTTGTCTTCTATATCTCATATCGTAATAATGCATTTCATACCGTACTATCTGTCATACAAAATCACTTATACCATATTGTAGGTTGATATTGCTAAGTTGCAGCATATCATATCAAATATGATAAATTATAAAATTAAAAATTAAACAATCGATAATGTGAGTTAATTAGCTTGTTATTATTTGTACTAAATTAAGTTATTATCAATTGTAGTAAATTTATTAATAAATTGTAGGTTTTAATGCAACGATAATTTTTGATGAAAGAAAAATAACAAACAAATTAATGTGATACTATACTTACCGTAACAAAAAAGGTAAATAAAAGGCATAGATGCAATTTGACCTAATGAAAGATTACATTTATTACTTTATTATATTATACTCTCTCTAACTATTATATTTCATAAATATAACAATTTGTAAGATTTCTCTTTATTAAAGGAATTAAAGAAAATATAAACTTAAATTTAAATTTCGTCTTTTTTCCTTTCTAATATTATATTCAATATGTTGTGGCATGCAAATTTAAGAGACCTCATAAAATAGGCGAATTAAATTTAAATTTAAACATTATTATTACTATTATTATTATTACTATTATTGCTATTATTATTATTATTACTATTATTATTATTGCTATTATTATTATTAACAATTATTATTACTATTATTATTATTTATTATTATCATCACTATCATTATTATTGCTAAGAATCAAAACGATATTTTTCCTTTCCATCCATTATTTTTCCCAACTTTTTTTTTCATCTTTTATTAATATTTTATTTTGATAGTTGGCAGATGTTTAAACATTAGCAAATGAAGCGCCAAATGACGCATTTTAGCAAGTTTGGTCGGATTATATGATCGGATGGATTTGAAGAAGATGAAAAAGCGGAATGGAATAGAGTGAAAGAGTAGGAAAACTACAGGATAGTGTCAAATTACTTAGTTCCTATTACTGCTGCTGTTATTGATGACAATAATATTGTTGTTATTATTATTATTATTATTGATAATGATGAAAACGGTAATGATGGTTATCATAATAATAGTGATAATAATAACAAATTACTTAGTTCCTATTACTGAGTTCCTATTATCGTTGTGCTTTTATAATTTCGGTGCAATTTTCTGATGATAATCAGAAATTTAAAATATCTATTTTTACGTGTCAAAAAAAAGTTAGAGAAAAAGTACCGTAATCCTGAGAATGTAATAATATTGCTGACAGTATATATATTAATTGTTAATCTATTATCGGTTTTAACTTTTTTCACTAGTAATGTTAGGAAGTTATATTACTGATTTATTTATTTAATTATTGTTTATTTAATTGATTACTTATTTGAAATATACAAACCATTGATGAAAGCCATTTTTGCCTCGTAATACTGGCACTTATTTTATACCAATTATTTCTTTATTTTAATTAGTTTATAAGGGATTATATGTATTAAAATCTCAAACGATTTAATATATGTGAGCTACGAGATACTGTAATAATATTTTGGTTGAATTAAATTATTCTATTAATAATTACTAAACAATTAATTATTCTTAAGATTTATCTTATAAAAGAAATTGATAATCACCATTGCATAGCAAAGTGTAGACAAAAATTTTTAAGCAAATTAGTAATTCTTACAAGGTCAAAATTTCTTACGCGATTTGATTAAAAGTAGTAATTTAAAAAATTTCAAATTCATAACTAAAAGAAAAATTAGCATTTTTACTCTCAACTTCTATTCTACGATTGAAGCAAATGTTTAAAAGTATTTCTTCGAAAGCATCAAATGCTCAAAAATGAAGCCATAAAATTGGAATAAGATTTCAGGATGGATTTTAGGACTTTGGACAATAAGAATTTCAGGACTTTGGACAATAAAAATTCTAGGACTTCAGATAATCAAAAAATTTCGCTAGAATTAATTTTTAATTTTTCAATTCTTCTGACTGTTTTAATTTGGGCATTATTAACATTATTAATTTTTATATGACTAATTTCATTGTTTTTTAATAAGAATAATTAAGCAGATTATATTTAATTAATCAATTTTAGCATATTATAGAATTGGAAAGCTAGCAAATATCTTGAATTGATTATCACTGATAACAATACTTTTTGAATTTCCAATAAAATATTTTTGATTCCAACCGCCATTGTGTATATTTATTAAAAATAATTTTAAACAAATATAATTAATAATTAATGCTTTAATTATCATATAATACTAGGCCAAATGCTATTGATATAACTATCACAACATAATCATATCGTAATAAAATCTTTTCCTGTTTAGTTGTTAAATCGTTTTATTCCGTATCTTTTTCCTGATACAGTTTTTTTTCACTCATATAGTTTGCTTTTTCTTTCCATGTTGATTATTAGTAACATTAGGTTATGTTTGCATTATATCTTCCACTTTACCATCAACAATATTTGCATAAACCTTTGCTAACATCTGTTCATCCATATTTTAACCTTATATTTAGCCGTTGTCCACTCTTTGACAAACTTTCCTACCAATTACAATTGCTGGTCATGCCCTATTTTGATGACTTTTCTATCGCTTATTTATACATACATATTGTGTAAATAAATTATCCATAAACAAAAAGTTAGCAAAAAATTTTCCTCAACCAATAAAAGTAATTAATTTCATTTCATTACTATCATCAAAATTTTACTGAGTTGCAAATTTTTTTGATTTCTTTTGTTTTTATTTTAATTAAGTTTATTTAGAGAAATGTGTAGGTAAAGTATAAAGTATTCATTTTACACTATTTGTATTCATTAAGATTTATGCGAAAAGCAAACAGTAGTTATAATATCACATTAAAAGTAATTAATTTCATTTCATTACTATCATCAAAATTTTACTGAGTTGCAAATTTTTTTGATTTCTTTTGTTTTTATTTTAATTAAGTTTATTTAAGGAAGTTTACAGGTAAAGTATAAAGTATTCATTTTATGTTATTTGTATTCTTTTAGATTTATGTAAAAAATTAACAATAGTTATAATATCATTGTTTCTTGCTAGCAAATTCCTTTATATAATTACTTAAAAAGTAGTTTCAAGCCATAAGCATACTGTAAATTTCATTGATAGTATTCAAATGTATCACTGAGTGAAATCACCTTAGTAAAATATAAATAATAATTTTTGTTAATTCAATTTCAAATTTCAATTCAAATAATAACTATGAATTGTTTCTTTATCATGAAATTATTCATTTAACACAATTAGGGTATTAAAATTTTAAAAATCAATCAAATTAAAATTTGGAAGTTTTAAACTTAAAGATTTTTAAGATGATATTATCACTGCACTGTTGTAATTTCAGTCGGAATTAAAGTTAAATTCTTAAAATTTTAAATATTTTTCAAATTGCTTAACAATGAGGTTCTCTAAGGGATCGTAGTTGGGTCGCTTAACGATGAGTTCGAAGGTCGTAGTTATAATGTTCAAAACGATTTTTCCATCGAAATATCGTTGGTATTGCATAATTTTTTTTTCGCAGTTTAAGTTGCAACAATTTTTGCATAAAAGAAAAAAGGAAAAGCCGCCAAATTAATAATTGCTCGGTCATTTCATTCGGTCATTTTTTAACTTTGCAATGAAATGAATCACTGAGAACGGATAATTGAGCAAAAACAAAAATTAATGGATAAGGCAAAAAAGTGGAAAAAAAAGAGGACAGAGTGGACAAATGGGTAAAGATGGACAAGCAGTAGCCGTAATTTTGGATTAGGAGGAAAAGGCTTGATTGTTTGAGGTTGTAGGTTAATTGCAACGTAGTGTGTAGTAGGACCCCTGCGGTGGCACCTGTCCACATTTTTGTTTCTCGGCGGGTTTTTATCTTACTTTTTTTTCCTTTTCTACTTTTTTCCATCTTTATTTTTGCTTTATGGTTTGCATCTTATGCTTCAAACTTTTTGATATATTTACCTGAATTTTTTGCAAAAAGTAAATTTAGATTTAGACAGGTAGAACCATTTTAGAATGTCAAAAAAATTCTGCAAAATTATTATTCAATATCTTTTAGTATTAACGTTTATTAAATTTAGCTTGATAAATTTAGGATATATTAGATTTGGATATAAAATTTAATAATCAAATTTTTATATCAAAAAATTTCCCGATTAGCTAGAAGAAATTTATTCATGTGTTCGCACATTTATGTGTATGTGTGTATATGTATGCTTATTTTGTTACTTCAGTATTTTTAAAATATATACTTAAATTAAAATTTAAAATCTAAAATGCAAATGCAACTTCTTTTATAACACAATAATTGATACCAATCAATTGTCTCTAAAATTCGATTACATGACAATTGATACTACGTCAAAACTTCATATGTTATTTTAATTCTCCAACGCTTCGTTTAAACTATTTCAAACTTATTTTTTTTGAAAATAAATATGATACAGTATACTAAAATTTTACTCCTTCAATTTTTAAATTCTTTTTTGTTTTGAATGATAATTTCAGGTGAAAAATAGCGCATTTCGGGTTTCATCTTCATCAAATGATACTGTAAGGTAAGAAATAAAGAAGTAAGAAATCGTAAGGTTATCTAAAGTTAATAAAAATATTTCAAATATTTGAATTTCTTCTTTTTTTAATCGAAGAGATCTAAAATCATTTGAGATACGTTGAAATCAAAAAAGTGATTAAAATGAAAATTATAAAATTATTGGCTAAAATTATAGCTATTATTCTAATTAATTTAGAAAAAACAGAATAGATTTTGAGCTAATAATTAATCCAAAAAATAAACAATAATTTCGTCAATTTCACCTTTTGTTTATACAATTTTTCAAAAAAGTTTTAAGTAATAATTATCAAAAAGTTTGCATATTTTTCTAAAATATAATAAATAATTTTTTATAATTTTTAATTGTTTATAATTTTTCTTTGTTTTTAAATTTTTATCCGATTTGCAAACTTTTTTAAATTTCAACAAAATTTTATATTTTTGACAATATTTTTCAGTAATGAATTATCGGGAAATATTGAAGCATCGCCAGCTACATTTTTTGGTGCATCATTTGGTTTAACACAGCTATCAGGTAGTGTAAAACCGGAAAATTTAATGCCAACATTGCCCGAGCGTCCAGTTACACTTACAGCAATGTCGGATGCCGCAGCTGCGGTCGCTTGCGGTAAGATATTAAACGTTTTTGGAAAGCAATTATCAAAAAATTTCATTAATCGCATTTTAATGGTTTAATAATGAAAAAGGTTCAAAAAGGTCAAGATCAAGATCAAGTAATATGATTTGGGAAAACGTGATAGTTTATAATTGATAATAACAGTAAATTAGTTTCGGTAATTTTTTTATTAGTGATTTTAATTAGTTTTCCTCTATAAATTTATTGCATTTCTATTCTATTATTTATCATATCAAAATCATACTTGCTTTCTTTACTGATAAAGATGAATTTGATAATGGTAAATTCGTATTACGTTCATTTGATTGTAAAAAAATTCAATCAATTTTCAAAGGTGAAAGGTTAAACATTTTTGTAGATTCTCGCATAATCAGTGCTACACCATATTACAACAGTGGTTATTCGAGTGCAAGTTATGCTGGAATGTATGCTGCTGGTGGAACACAAAATTATTATCCAATGGTATCTCCCTCATTACGTGGATCTGCTGCAGCTGCCGCAGCTACGTCATTTCCATTTGCCGCTGCCGCTGCATCCCACGCTTATTACGGTAATGACCTCGCAAGGGTTATTTCTCAAATATCAGAGATATTGTTAATATTGGCAAGTGTACTTCTCTCTCTCTCTTTCTCCTCTTTATCTCTCAGGAAAAACAAAAGCTATTTGGAAAGAATGACCAAAATGATTTGCTGCAATTAATTTTCGGAAAATATTAAAAGAGAAAGAGGGAAATGAAAGAGAAATAAGGTGAATAAATCAAATTAAATAAACAAAGTAATTGTTAACAAAAAATGATTTTTCTTTTGTAATTAAATTGGAAATTATTGGAAATTAAAATTTGAATTAAAATTCAAAAAGTTCCATTTTTATATTTGATGATAAAATTGCAATTTCGAATTAAAAAAAATCATCTTAAAACTCTATGTAACATGCTAAATAGAAAAGATAAAAATGAGTGATTAAAATTTTCAAATTAATCGATTTCACTCGTTTTGCTTCTTATCGTAAGAATGCTATATTATCTTTTATCAGTTTTCGATATCACTTATTGCCAAAAACTCATCAATTTATCAATAAGAGTTTTTCTACGATTGCAATATCATTAATGATTTTAGTAATTTTTTCAAATAAATTCCAAAACGAAAAAAGTTACTAAAAGTTAATTAATTTCATTTCATTCTCATACTTAAAATTAGGTTGAAATTTCATCATTTTAAGTTACGAATTTTTTATGAAATACAAAATTACAGGTAATGGTTATACATCAGCTCATTTTGATTATACATCTTATCCGGCAACAATGCATTGTTACGGAGGTCGAGGTGGTTACTATGGATGTTCCATTAATCCTGTTTCACCAAATTCATCCTTATATGCAAGTTTTTATTGAATTCTCGTGATTTAACAACTTATATCAAGGAATGTTAGAACTCATTGGTAACTATATTACATCATATCATGGGATGTTATAACTCATTGATAACTATCTTATATGAAGGAATGTTATAACTCATTGATAACTATCATCTAAGATTGATAGTTATCAATGAATAGAATAATCTTACAACATTGTTGAAATTTTTTTAACAAAGTGTCAGAAAATATTTTCCAATGAAATTTTACTTTGAAAAATAAGCTTTCAAGATTAGAATAATCCTACAACATTACTAATATCGACTGAACGATATTGCGAAAATGAACTTTCAAGATTAGAATAATCCTACAACATTACTGATATCGACTAAGCGATCTTACAAAAAGGAACTTTCAAGATTGGAATAATCCTATAACATTACTGAAAATTTTTTAGTAAGGTATCAGAAAATATTTTCCAATAAAATTTTTGCTTTGAAAGAAAGTTTTCAAAAAAGGGTTGACTGGAAAATAATTCGAGAAATTGCAGAAAATATTTTTCTAATTTGTAAATATCAAAATATTCAAATAGAAAATAATTTGATAGTATTAAAACAAATGGCTGATTTTTTTTGCTTTCCAAATTAGTATAAATTGATAAATGATAATTTCCATTGATAAATGATTATAATTATAAATGATTATTTTATTTTAGTTGCTATTAAATTTGAAATTTTAATTAAATTAAAAAAAAATTATTCAAAAATGAAATTTTCAAAAAAATAAACTCAAAAGAAATTGTTTAAATAGAAAGTTACTGCTCCAATTAAATTTTTGTTAAATAAATGTATGCTAATTAATGAATAACTAATTAGCAGAATTAAAAAATTCAATTTTTTGAACTTACTTTAACTTTCGGAATCATTGGGTGGGGATATAGCTCAGGGGTAGAGCGCTCCCTTAGCATGGGAGAGGGCTGGGGTTCGATTCCCCATATCTCCAAGTCGAAGATTTTGTTTGCTTTTTGGTACCAATGAGATAGTACCAGAGCCATAAAATAATTGTTTTTTCCCTTACCCAATATTTTCAATAGTTTTTATAGATGAATGAAAGAATCAATAATTTAAGTCCACGTAATATACGTGTATTACGTGAACAATTAAAAGATTAGATAATTAGTAAAGATTAGATAATTTGAGATTTAATTGATAATCTGATCGGCTTAACATAACATATGTAATGATAGTACCATACAATTGTAATTATTATAGGTTTAAATGTAAATTTTTGTTGTATTTTAGTGAAACTTGATTATTTCAATTTTTCTACTTGTAAATCAGATGCAAAATTCGGTAAAAAATTTTTAACAAAAAATTGAAATTTCATTTTAAAAAAGGTAGACTGGAAAGATGACTTATTTCAGGCAATGAATTCATTAACAAATGATATCAATACATCTAATCAATTATCATCTTTTACCACAAAACATGAAACGAAGCGTTCAAGTAAGGCATATTTGTAAAATTTAAAATTTCTCTTATAATTTTAAAGTTATGATTTTAAAGTAATCCTCAAAAAGTAATTGCACGAATTTTCACTTATAAATTTATATTAAATTATACTATTAAGTAATATAAATTTATATTATTAATAATATTATCATAGATTTCATATAAATTTATATTAAATTATACTATTAAATTATATTATTAAGTTATATAAATTTATACAATTAATAATATTATCATAATAATAATTTATATGATCATAGAATTGTTTGAATTATAATTCATAAAATTGTGAAAAAACAACTCGAAAATTGATGGAAAGATTTTCCATATGAAATATCAAAATATGATTTTGCTGTAAATTAATTTGAATTACTTGAATTATTCACTTATTAACAATATTAATTACTTAAGCTATTATTTGAGTTATGAATTATTAACAATATTAATTATTTAATATTAATTATTTAAGTTTATTTAAGTTATTATTTGAGTTATGAAATTAGTTATGAATTATTTCTTAATTAATTATTTAAGTTATTATTTGAGTTATGAATTATTAACAATATTAATTATTTAAGTTTATTTAAGTTATTATTTGAGTTATGAAATTAGTTATGAATTATTTCTTAATTAATTATCTAAGTTATTATTTGAGTCATGAGTTATTAACGGTTTTTATTACAACGTTTTCCAAGTGAGAAAAGATGATTTATGATAATTAATTATTTTAAAATGATTTAATTAGAAAAATAGTCTAATATAATCTTTTCTCGTATTAACATAATTTTTGTAGTGATTATTCTTTCATTTCTCTCTTTTAAAGATAAAGCAACGAAACGGAAGAAAAATCCGGGCAATATAAGTAGTCCGGTAAAACAATATAAACGTGCATTTATATGGGAAATGGACGATGTTTGTGTACTGTCAAATTTTTTCCTTCGATCAAATGATCCGGTTCGTAATGAACGATTAGCACAAACGATCAATAATAATGTTGATCGATTTATTGCATCCATTTTTGGTATCGATCAAAATGATGTAAGTATATCGGAATAAATTATTTATATGTTAATAACCGGATCAGGCTTTTTTATTTTATCGTATTTTAGATTTCTTTCTTTTCTTTTTTTAGCAAGATTGTGAATATGTGAATATCGAAGATGCTAATATCGATGATACATTTGATGATATCACATATCAACCAATTGGTATTGATATGCCAAGTACGTCAACTATGGGTAATTCGGAATCATCGTCATTAGGTCACGCACGTGGTGATGTTGATTGGATGAGGAAATTAGCTACAAAATATCAACACATCAAAGATACTTATAATTCATATAAAAATAATTTTTCCGGTTTGGTTTTTTTCCTGTTTTGATATCGGAAAATAAATTTGTAAATAATATGCATGAATTTATTCAAGCATGAAATTATCTGTCAACACACCATATTGGCCATTTTTGGAAATAAACAAACGAACTTGTAAAATTTAAGAACAATGAAACAATAATTAATTACTTATTATTGTATTATATTTTAAGGGTTTTATTAAAATTGGTGTTTTTTTAAATCAAAATTTTACAAGTGATTAAATTAAATTAAACAATTGTTCAATTCAGTATAATTCTTTTTTTTGGTGGCTTTAAAATTGTGTCATAATTTCCGGTAGCAAAATGAATTTCACAATTAATTTGTAATTATAATGTTTTATTAATTAGTTTGAGATAATATCATTTAATTAAATTTAGCCTAAATGTAATTTTGATTTTAGAATATTTTATAATTAAAAGTTTTAAATTTCAGTTTAACAATTCAATCATAAATTTGGACTGTTCGAGATATGGATGATTTCTTTTTTTCAGGTCTTTTAGAACGGATTGGAAATACGGAACGAGCTGAATTATTAGCATTAAAATCATCAATGGATCCGTTAACTCAAGGTTGGGGAGAAAGTATTAGACAATGTTTGAAACTTATCATCGACAGGTGAGTAATTTTGTGTTATTTACGCTTTATGATTGAGAAACTTGATTTGACTAACTTTAAATGATTTTAATAAAATAATAAGACTTGTTTCCTCTCTTCAACATTCCCTTCTTTTCCCTTTCCATCGTTAACTTATCAACTTCTTGGAAAATTTTCCAATATGTTTCCATTTGCATTTTACAATGAAACATTCTGATTACCCGATAATTTCAGGAATTAGTGATTAGACTGTCGTAATTACAACACAATTCGATATTCCTGATCGATTTTATTCATAAAAAATTATAATTAAGCAATAATATATGAAATAATTCGCTTTAATTTAGTTGCTAATTAAAGAAGCTACCAGATGAAATTAATTAAAATTTTCCATAACAATTTAATTTAATTTAGTTACTAATTAAAGAAGTTATCAGATGAAATTAATTAAAATTTTCCATAATAATTCACTTTAATTTAATTGCTAATTAAAGAAGTTATCAGATGAAATTAATTAAAATTTTCCGCTTTTTTCAACATTTTATTTAATTATGCTTAAAAAAATTTTTTTAATTAAATTTAATTTATAGATCATCTCGAGAGCATTATGCAAATGTGTTATTAACAAGCGAAAATATTGTTTCAACATTAGCTAAATTATCAATTATGGAGCAAAGTTCAATGATACCTGCGGAGAATGTTTATAGTATGATGAAAATTGGTAAAGAAGCGGTAATTGATCGAATTTTGAGTCATTATGGTAAAAAATGCTCCTTTGTTATCATATCAACACATCTTGATACACATGAAATTGCTAAAAAGGTATGACTAATCATTTGTTTACTTAATTATTTAATTGTTTATTCTTTTTTTGGAAAATTTTATCAACATGAATGATTAATTGTTTTATAGGCCAATTAAAATGATTTAATTAATAAGTAAAGATAATGTAATTATTACATGATGAATTAAATTTTATTCAATTGTATCAATTAATCATTATTAATAGCATGAAATGAAATGAAATGGATTTAAAAAAGAATGAATATGAAAATGTGAAAATATAATTGCTCCATGAACTAATTAAATACAATAAAAATAAGGCAAAATTATTTTCAAATTTTTAATTAATTAAAATAATAAAATATTAATGCAAATTATCATTTTTTTTTTGTGTGTTTATTCCACGATTTGATAAAATTTATCACTGATACTTTATCACACATTCGTTTATTATATTATGCAAAAAATAAATTTAAATTTAGAAAAAAAAAAAAGCAGTTGAAGAAATTTTAAATCTAAATGAAATAAATGTATTTTGAAAAATGAAAAAGCAGCAAAAATTCCCTCTAAAATTAAATTTAACAATTTCGTTGAAATTTTAATAACAAATAATTAAAGTGAACTAATTTTGTAATTTGTTACATTTAAAAATAATAAAAGAAAAATTTTTGCAATAATAGCAAATTATTAAATTATCGCTGTCACTAACAACAAATCATTCAAACAAAAAAAATTATATTTGCAAATGAAATGTTGAAAATTGAAAAGTGAAATGAAATTGGAAGAATTCGAAAAGCTAAAATGAAATGGAAATATTCAAAAACAAAAATTTTATATAATAACAATGTGATTGTTTTAAAAACTTTAATTTTGATGTTTCAAAATTTTTTGATTTGAAAGAGTGCAAAAGACATTTTTTGTTTATAAATATTTTTGTTTGGTTTTTGTTTTCATTGAAAATTAATTTTAATAAATGTTACTTATTTATTTTATTTGTTTATTCGTTTGTTTTCGTTTTTTTTTTTTTTCATTTTGATTTTATTTATTTGTTTACTTGTTTGTTTTCGTTTTTTTTTTCATTTTGATTTTATTTATTTGTTTATTTGTCTTCTTTTTTCCATTTTGATTTTATTTATTTGTTTGTTTATTTGTTTGTTTTCATTTTTCATTTTGGTTAAGAATAAAAATTGAAAAGAATTCAATACAACCAAATAGTTGAAAATATTGCTAAAATTTTGTTCTATTCGATCAAACGATATAATAAATTTTGCTAAAGATCAATATAGAAATTGCTTTATTAAAGGTCAAATTTTTGTTTTTTCCTAAATTTTAAGCTTCAAAAATCTTTTTCCGAAAGTATCAAATTGTTTTTGTTGTTGTTGTTGTTATTAAACTATGAAATATTTATTAGAAGGCGATGAAGGAATATTTTTAGTAGAATGTAAGCTAAGAAATTTTAGAATTTTATTTTTATTGTAATAAATTTTTCAAAAAAAATTTTTTCCTCATTATGATAAAAACAAAAGAAAGCATTTTTAACTTTTGCTAACTTTTTGGTATTTTCAAATAATAATTAAAAAAATTTTTTGTTTTTGAATAAATAATCAATCGATCGATCGATGGTTGAAAATTGTTTTAAACTATAATATAATTAATATTGTAAAAAGAAAGTTAAAAGAAATTAGCAATAAATAGGTCGAAAAATTGGTAATAAACTATAAAATAAAATAATGAATCAATCAAAATTTTAGATAATTGTTTTTTGCATTCTTTTTTGTGAAATTCTTGAAAATTTCATATAAAACATTTCAAATGTTGTTATTTAATAAAATGATTGTAATTATCAAATTAATTTTTCCTTTTAATATTAATTAAAATTACGTAATATGCTATACGTATATGTAAACAATGAATAGATGTGATATGATACGTATCAAATAATGTTCTAATTAGCATTTCTTATATAAATCATTTTAGATATCTAACATTCATATATGTTTTAGATAATTATTTTTTGCAAACAATAAGCATGAAAACGTTTTCCACGGTTTCATTTTTAACCGTTTTTATTTTTCAGGAAAATATTCCATTATGGAAAGTGAAAAGTGTTCGTGACTTGGATCTCTTCCATTTGGCACTCAATCATCATCTTCTTAGTTGATAAATTCGGCAAATAATTTCAAAAGCAAAAATCCGTTGATAATCAATCGCTGAAGAAACTTTGATTTAAAAATAATATTGAAATTTTTGTCATTTTTTTTTATCTCATACTTAATTTATTAATTGCTAATTAATTATGTGAATTGTGTATTAAGTGATAGCTTAGATGATTAGTATTATATGATAAATCTTTTTCTTTCATGAAAAAAAAATAATATAGTTTAATAATTTAAAAACTAACTAAACTATGATGTTTATTTTTTGTTAATTCTTTTGTTTAATAACAATGAATATTAGTTGCGGAATAATAATAAAAATTACAAGGTATAATAATAGTAATTATAATAATTGATTACTATTATTATTACTACTATTATTAAACAAATACGGGCAAAACATATATATATATATATATATTGAGAGTTATTTATATCAAAATCGATAAATCAATGAAAAATATAGTTTAATTTGTGAATTAATTAAATTTTATTTTTTAAATTAATTAATTTGCATAAGTTTTACAATTGATATTTCGATATTTTATACTCTCAATTTGTATTTAACATTTTCTTTTTGCTTTTATAATTTACAGATTTTAAATCGTTTCATTTGGTGACAAATTCGTATGACAGTTACGAGTGAGACACGTGATGTATTAATTTTACACATTAAATTGCTGACACCCGAAATAATTCAATGCCATAAGTCTGAAATTCGAACTATTCGTTCTTTTTTTGCGTCTCCTTTTTTTTCTCTCTTATTTTTTTGCAATTTTAATTTTACACTTTTATACTATTGAAATTTACAATTCTCTTGCACACACACATGCATGCATACATAATATATTGCATTTTGAGTATTTTTTGCAACGTACATGCAGCGTATGTACGTATTAATATTATTAATTATTTTTAATTAACGTTTTCTTTTAATCTATTTTTTTCAACGAAATTATGTTATAATAAATTCTATATTTTGCTTTTACAATTATGGAAAAATTTTTCTTTGTTTTATTTGTAATTTTATTTCATATAATTATGTTTTTCTTTTTTGTAATAATTAAATTTATTTAATTTAAAGAATTTAAATTTGTTTCAAAAATTTATATCAAAAATAAAATTGCAAATAATGAATGTGTTGAAATATGGTTGTAAAGAAATGGAAAAAACCAAAATCAATAATTAACGAAAGAGTTTTAAACCTATCGCAATTTTTATTTCTATTCATTAGTTCTGTTAATATAATTGGAAATTAAATAATTATGTTAATATAATTGGAAATTAAATAATTAAATTGGAAATTAAATAATTAATTTTGTCTGGTAATAAAATAATTTTTGAAAATTTAGTGATCTTATCAATAAATTTATTATTTTAGTGAAATTATATAAATAAAGCAAAATGCTTCACTCTCTCTCTCTCTCTCTCTCTCTCTCTCTTCCTTTTTCCAAATGATATATTAAAAAGAAATATTCAAAAGTGACAATGCTCAAATATTTCCATTCATATGTGATAATAACTTTAAAAATGTTTTATTAACATTTGATTAAACAAAAATTAATTTCATAATTAGCATTGTATAAATTTTTCCTTCTTTTGATAATAAACAATTTGTTTCATTATCGTTATCATTGCAATTATCATTATTGTAAAAATAGCTATTGTTAACATTATCATTATTTATTAACACAAAACTGTCATCAAAAGGAAATAATCAGACTGCAGCTGTCTCATTTAGTGATATTTATCGTTCTCGAAAAAGAAAAAAGATTATCATCATTATCGTAGCTATTGTTAATATTATCAATTATTATTACCATCATCATCATCATCACTATTATTACCATCATCACAAAACTGTCACCTAAAGAAAAATAATCAGACTTCACCTGTCTCAGTGATATTTATCGTTCTCAAAAAAAAAAAGATTATCATCAATATCATACTATTATTAATATTATCATTATTATAATAATTACTATTACCATCACCATCATCATTATTAGTACCATCACAAATTATTATCATAAAACTGTCACCTAAAGGGAGTAATCAGACTGCACCTGTCTCATTTAGTGATATTTATCGTTTTCGAAAAAGCACAAAAAGAAAGAAATGACTATTTTCATTTTTCATTTTCATTTTTTAGTTCGTAATTTAAAAGCTTTTTTTAACTTCCTTTTTTTTCTTTTGTTTTAATTTTCAAAGAATTAAAATTTATTAGGATTAAGTTATTTCAAAAAATAAAAAGTCAAAAACAAAAATAAACTTCTTTTGAACTTTTTCAAAATTTCTTCATTTATAATTAATTATTTTCTATACATAATTTATATATTAGGAAAAAAAGAATTGTTTTAAGTTATTTTATAATATCTAATGCCTTTTCTTCTTTATTTCAATAATTTATTTCTCTTATTTATTTATTTATTTATTTTATTTGTTTAAAATATTTTTACAAACAGAAAGGTAATCGATATTGTATTCCTCCATATTATCCTAGCTAATCGTAATCGTTCCTCGATAATCGGTATTCCTCGGTAATCGATATTATCATTAAATAGTAATAGTTTAGTATTTAAAATGCAAATAAAGAGTATTTGCTTATTCCATCTAATTATTTACTCATTTACCTTGTTTACTTATTTATATTCATTTAGACATTTGATAATCAAAGTGTGGAAAAAATGTTTGTAGCTGGAAAAAGTTGACCTTCGCTTTTACCATTACTTTTTTTAAAATTAAATTAGGAAGTAATTAATTACTTCTTACAAATTATCCGATGCCGATTTAATAGTATGGGTTGTAATTATTCTATTTTTCATTACTACCACTATATCATTACTATAATCACTACTATTATATATATTATCAACTTAGGTATTTTTATTTGTTTATCAATTATCAGTTATTTAGATAATTATACCTTTACAATTAGCCTTATCAATACGATCAACATAAGTTATTCTAATTTGTCATAGTAATACTGTTTATCACCAATGTTAGTGCTATTGTAAATTTTGCTAAAATAACATTTTAGCAAATTTTATTATCAGATAAGAATTATCAATGATATCACAAATTATCAAATTCAAAAAGTAAAAATATTATTCCTTTTTTGCAATTTTACCGCTTTTTGTTTTTTCCTTTAATTAAAATTTTTTTCTTTCTCTCAATTGAAAAGTTAGTGAAAATTATTTCAAAATAAATTAATTAATAAAAAAAGAAAATTATAAAATTCAAAATTAGTAAGTAAAAACAAATTAAAAAGTTCAACAAGTTTAATAATTGTTTACAAACAAACTAGAAAGTTCGACAAGCTTAATAATTGTTTACAAACAAACTAGAAAGCTCAAAAAAAAAAAAATTAATAGCAGAAATTTCAACAAACAAAAATTTCATCATTGCTCATATTTTCTCATCATTTTAATAAATTAGACACTGTTTATTACATTGTTTATTCTTGGCTGTAAAGAATAAGAAATCTGAATCTAATCGTTTAATTTATCAAAATTTATTCTCTCATTATTAATTAATCATTGATAATTAAAGTAAACAATAATTTCATGATGAATTAATCAATTCCGGTATAATTAAAATTTGAGAAGACAGAATAAAGAAAGCATAAGACGAAAATCAAGAAAGGCGTGTCTTCCGTTTCCTATATATCAGCAAGAAGGAAATGTTTGTTATTATTGCTGTATTGAATTGGCTATTGCTGTTTGCTATTTCACTGCCATTTTCAATTCTTACCAGCTGTATGCCGTAATCCGGTTGGTATCATTTTAAGTAAAACAAATTAACGCCGCTTAAAATATCACTTTTGATATTTTGTTTTGATATGCATAACATTAAAAATATCAAAAAAAAAAAAAGTTATCAATTAGATAATTTTCATTTCCTGTTATCTTTTTTTTTTATTTGATAATCCGTTTTTTTTTTTTGTTCTTTCCGGAAAAATTATTTGGTGCAAAAAATTTTCATCGGACTAATTCTCTGAATCGATGTTAGCAATAATTAGTGGTGTATTTTTCTTGCTAACTACAGCTAATGCTGCACATTTTTCACATACTCGAAAAGTAAGTCGTTAATTTTCCTTCACTTCGTTTTTTCCATTTCAAATTATTAGCTTTAAATTGGTGATTAAGATGATTATCATAAAATGTAATAGGTGATTAAAAGATTATCATAAAATATAATAGGTGATTAAAATGATTATCATAAAATATATTAGATGATTTAAATGATTATCACAAAATGTAATAGGTAATTAAGATGATTATCATAAAATGTAATAGGTGATTAGATGATTATCATAAAATGTATTAGATGATTTAAATGATTATCACAAAATGTAATAGGTAATTAAGATGATTATCATAAAATGTATTAGATGATAAAAATGATTATTATAAAATGTATTAGATGATTTAAATGATTATCACAAAATGTAATAGGTAATTAAGATGATTATCATAAAATGTAATAGGTGATTAGATGATTATCAAAAAATGTAATAGATGATTAAAATGATTATCATAAAATATATTAGATGATTTAAATGATTATCACAAAATGTAACAGGTAATTAAGATGATTATCATAAAATGTAATAGGTGATTAAGATGATTATCATAAAATCTAATAGATGATTAAGATCATTATCATAAAATGTAATCGGTGATTAAGATGATTATCATTAAAATGAGCACTGTTAAAGTAAAACTGATATGATTGTCTTTTTCTTTTTCAAAAATAATAATTAAAAAAATTGAAATGAAAAAGAGTAGGCAAAGTTGAAAGAGATGAAATTAAATTTACGATATATTACACAGTAGGAAAAATATAAAAACATTAAACGATCTTTTCTAAAAATTTTTTGCTAAAAATTTTTCCTTTATTTTTTAAATTTTTAAATTATTTTATTTTTTAACTTCTTAATTAATTACTGTGATTAATTAAAAACAAGAAAATTTTTTTTTGAAATTTTTGCATAGCCTTAACATTTATGGATAAACATTAATAAACCTTACGTAACCTTACATTATTACGCCAACGAAGATACATGTACATTTTTGTATTGCACTTAACCTTTATGGATAGACGTTACTAAACCTTACGTAACCTTACATTACTACATCAACGAAGATACATGTACAATTTTGCACGTCACTTAGCCTTCATAGATAGACGTTATTAAATCTTACGTAACCTTTCATTATCAATGAAAATACATGTACAATTTTATATTGCACTTAATCTTTATGGACAGACGTTATTAAACATTACGTAACCTTACCTTACTACGTCAACGAAGATACATGTACAATTCTGTAGAGAATTATTTCAAATTTCATTGAATTTCTCTCTCGCTAATCATTTTATCGAACATTTGCAAGGCATTAAAATATTTCACGTGATACACGTAAATAACTGACGCAAATAAATTTTTTGGTTTATTTTACTTAAGTATTGCTTAGGTAATAGTATTATTTAAATTACATTTGAATTTTGTTAAATTTCTCTCTCGTTAATCATTTTATGATACATTTGTGTTCAGGTGCTAAAGTATTTCACGTGATACATATAAATAATTCACGCAAATAAATTTTTTGGTTTATTTTATTGTACGTATTATATTATACCTAGATTATTCACAATTTTAAAATATTTATCTTAAACAAACAAAAAAGAAATGTTCCATCTGAATGATTAAATGATAAAATGATAAATTTACAATGAAATGCTTTTTATCAACTCTTTTGTGATCTACATATTAAAATCAACTTATTTCACTAAAATAATTAAACAAATAATTAGCAAAATTTACTAAAAAGTAAAAGAAGCAAAAAGCTGTCATCAATTTTGTAAACTATTATAAAGAATATGTAAACACGCAATACACATTTATCTATTAGAATTAAATTTGTTGAAAATCCCTTTTCATTCTTATTTCTAATTTAGATAAATTATAAATTGATTTACATATATAATTTTATTTGTAAATCAATTAACAAAAAGAAAATGATTTCAATAATTACATAAAACTTAATTGTTTTTTGTGTAAATGTTTTTAGGATAATTAAAATTTGAATTTTACGATTTTTCTAATTAATTATATCAATTTTTGCAAATTTGATAAATTGACGAATTTGATATAATTAAGGCACATTCATATTTGGATCTTCGTATCAAATTTTCTCCACTTGATGATACAACAATTTGCGAAAATGATCCACCCTGTTCGATACCATATGCAATTTCCGTATTGCATTCACCGAATCATTTTGATTTACAAGTATTTACTTTATTTATTTATTTATTCCATTTTGTTTATTTTTCTTTAAATATTTTGTTTATTTTTACTTTGAATCTTTTTCTTATTACTATTATTTACTTTATTGATTTTTATGTAACTTTCTTCCTACACGTTTCTTTCGTATTATTTTTATTTTAATTAGACAAACACATAAATGTTTAATTAACAGATATGTAGGGAAATTGTGAATAAACAGATACGTAACAAAACAGAGAATGAATTAGTTTTACATTAAGAAAATGTATAAGTGATACTGAAGAAATTACTTAAGACAAAGGAAACGAAAATATAGTTAATGGACAACAATATAATATAACAGATACGTAACAAAACAGAGAATATATTTTACATTGTGAAAATATATAAATGATACTAAAGAAATTACTTAAGACAAAGTAAACGAAAATATGGTTAATGGACAGCAAATGATATTAAAGAAATTACCTAAGACAAAGTAAACGAAAATATGGTTAATGGACAACAAATGATACTAAAGAATTTACTTAAGACAAAGTAAACGAAAATATAGTTAATGGACAATAATATAATCTATAAATGGTTTATGCAAAATTTCGCATGATAGAATTTTAAATTAATATTTTAGAATTTAATTGTTAAATAATTATTTTTTTTTCATTTCTAATTTCGTTTTTGTTTTTCTTTCTTTCAATTTTCGAAATATAATCAGTTGAAAGAAATTGGAAATTATTGAAGATTTACCTTCAATTTCAAAATGTTATCATAAATAAATAGAAAAAGAAGGAGGTAAATTTTAAAAGTAAAATAAATTTCTTTTCCTAAAATTAATTGTCCATCGCTAATTTATATTAAACATATTAATAATTAAATATGCAAATCTAAAATTAATATAAAATAGACTCCGAATAAAATATATTATTGATAGTATTTTAGAGTATAATGATGCAAGATGGTGGATTATTAAGGTACAATCATAATCGTTATAGCGATTCAACAGTGATACGATTGACAAAAGCAATGAGAGCACATGATAATAAAGTATATATAGGATTACGATTTTTTGATTTACCTATTGGAATGCAAGGTTAAGTCATACATTTTTGTATTTTTGTTAATAAATCATAAATTAAAAGGTGATCAATTACCTGAAATGATAATAATGATAATGATATAAAATATTAACAAAATTTGTAAAAGAAATTAAAATAATTTTTATTAGATTATCATAATGCTCAAATAAGAGTAAAATGATAATTATATGCGGTAATGAAAGTGATAATAATAATATTTATGTATGTGATAATAACAATATCATGATAGTCGAGTTGTTTAAATTACGAATAGTTTTTTTTGTTTTTAAATCCATTCGTCCAATTCTAACCTTTTTTTTTAAATCAATAGAATTCATTTCAGATTATATTATTATGGATGTATCAATGATAATTGAAAATGGTATGAGAAAAAAATTGGAAATGATAACAGAAAATTATCGGCTTCATGTACATGTTACCAAAGAAATGGAAATTAATAATGGTTAGGAATTGAAATGAGAGAATTAAAAGAAGAAATGTAGAAATTGAAGAATGAATTTAATTTTTATCCCACCACTAGAAGAATGAATTTAATTTCTACCTCATCACTATACTTAAAGAATGGATTTAATTTCTATCCCACCACTAGAAGAATGGATTTAATTTCTACCTCATCACTATACTTGAAGAATGAAATTAATTTTTATCCCACCACTAGAAGAATGAATTTAATTTCTACCGCATCACTATACTTAAAGAATGGATTTAATTTCTATCCCACCACTAGAAGAATGGATTTAATTTCTACCGCATCACTATACTTAAAGAATGGATTTAATTTCTATCCCACCACTAGAAGAATGGATTTAATTTCTACCGCATCACTATACTTAAAGAATGGATTTAATTTCTACCTCATCACTATACTTGAGGAATGAATTTAATTTCTGTTCAATCATTATAGTAAAACACCTATTTACAAAATTTTAAGATTCATTTTTGAAATTTTTAAAAAATTAAAATGAAATTATACTATGCAATTTTCTTTTGACTTGAATATAAAATATTTAGCACGAATTTGAAATAAAAAGAAAAAATTGAAAAATTAAAATTATTCCTAATTAGTTTTTATTTTTAAATGCTTTCTAATTATTTTAGTTGAAGTATTTTTGAATAAATTAAGCAAAAAATGTATAATTTATAGATATATTATTAAATCACATAATTTGCAGATTATATTATCAAATCACATAATTTACAGATATATTATCAAATCACATAATTTACAGATATATTATCAAATCACATAATTTACAGATATATTATCAAATCACATAATTTGCAGATATATTATCAAATCACATAATTTACAGATATATTATCAAATCACATAATTTACAGATATATTATCAAATCACATAATTTGCAGATATATTATCAAATCACATAATTTGCAGATATATTATCAAATCACATAGATTCGATGAATGCAACAAATTGCCGATGCAATCGAAAGAACTGTGCATGCTGCATGATGTTAAACATTGCAAAAATTGGTCTTCATGATTTTAGTAAGTATTTAATTGATCAAATCATTTTTTTATTCCTTTGGCCAAAAATAAACTTTATCGCCTTTTTTTAAAGTCAAAGTCAAAAAAAATATTTTGGCTTAATTATCGATTAAGAATATTATAATATTTTATAATCAGAAAAACAAGGTATTCCTATAAACAATTAATTATTAAAAAAAGGTACAAAAAGAAGGAAATGAATAAATGCAAAAATTATAACAGTTAAAATCTTTTTTTTTTTTAACTCATTAAATTTTTTCAAGTTTTATTTTAAAATAAATTTTTTAATTGCTATTTTTTCTTCATTCCATCAAATATTTTGTTTTCCTTTTTTGATTTGTTAAATAAAAATAGCAATTTGTTATTCCATTTCTTTTTGTTCATACCATTCCAAATCTGTCTGTTACTGATTGCTTTCAAATTTAAAAAGCTGTCATTTAATGCATTTTTGACATTAACGATTCCCATTCGTTTATTATCATATAAAATAAAATGAAATATATTTGTTTCTATTATTGGATTAATTTAAATTCAAATGAAGAACAAAATTAATTTCGTTTTTTTTTTCCTTTCCATTACAAATATTATCAAAAGGAAAAGAATTTTCTATTTTTTTTTGAAAAAGAAATAACAAAAAATTGAAATTTTGTAAATGTATGAATGAGAATTTGAAATTTTTGACGAATTTACATAATAATAATTAGTAAAAGTAAAACAATTATAAAGTTAATATAAATTTTTAATCATTATTGTTTTAATATTTAATAATATTTTGTTAAGTAAAACAATTATAAAGTTAATATAAATTTTTAATCATTATTGTTTTCAATATGTAAGTGTGAGTCAAATTACCGATTTTAAGATATTAAAAATAATCGGATTAGAATGGATCAATTTATTTCAGTTTAATATTTTATAATAGTTATATGAATATTACTTTATTAAAAATATTATATCATTAAACACTATTTCGTGATATTTATATCGTAGCGCTATTATTATACGGATGTTACAGCACAATATATTAATACTTGTTGACATTATACTGTATCATACAAATGTTATCATACATCATATAATATATAATACAATCTATTTGCACTTAATAATAAGATGCTATGATATAATATGATTTGACCTAGTATGAATATATTTTCTCTCATCATATTACTTTATAACATATACCTGTTTACTATTATACTGTAATATACTTACTGTATGATATTAAACATGTAATGCGCATTTATATTACAATATATTATATTAATACAATTATCATAATATATTATAGTAATGTACTATTTTAATGCAGTAATATGTTTATATCCATTAAAAAAAAACTATATTGATAGGAGGATTTGAAATTAAATTAAATTTGCAGCTTGTGTAAATATTACATATATATCAGAAGATATTGGTATTCGCTTATCTCTTTCCATAAATGGTCATATTTTTATTTCGAGAGAAATATCATGTTAGTTTCTAATCTTCTTCTATTCCCTTTTTTTCTTGAAATTTCCGTCATAATACGAAAATTTAAAAAAGGCAAATTTCAATTTAATTTTTCAAAATAAATATACCCGCAGGATATGATGCATTTTTGTGTTTTAAATATATAGTAAGACAGATATAAATTTAAATGAGAATAATGTAACACATGCATGAATATTATTTTAAATAATAAAAATTTAAAAATCCTAAAATTGACCTAATTTATTTACAGTAAGCAATCCACCATCATATTGCTTATCATTACCATTTTTGAAGGAATATGCTGGCATTTGTTTACGTTTACATGATGTAAGTTAATTGAAATTTCTACATTTATTTTTTTTTTAGTAATACTTTTGAATTTCTATTTAAATAATTTCTAAATAAAAATTTAATTTTGAAATTTAAATAAGAAAATATCAAAGTTTCTATTTTTAGCTAAAATTTGGGCATAAAAATCTTGATGGTTGCGTGGAATTAGACGCTGAATTATATCATGTTCACGTGGCTACCGTACAACTAGGATGTTTCAGTATGCCAATCTAAAATCGTCGAATGAAAGAAAGTAAACTATAACAAATATATTATATATATACGAATCATTCTTGTTACATTCTTCCTATTTTTGTATACTATTTTATTTTTGTCAATTTAATTTTCCCGGAAACATTTTATGGATATGTTAGCATAGGAAATTTTATTTATACCTAAAAAAGAATGTTGGAGTTTGGTTAAATGCATAAATTATGTATACACAAAATTAATTATTTATTTTTTTGTTTATCACTTGGTACTTAAAATTATCAATTTTAATTTCATCGAATGCTAATTGATGCAGTAAACAGTGATGAAATATATCAATCATTTGATAAATAGACTAATTCCATAAAAGAAATAAATTTTTGCCACACAAACAGACAAAGTTCGAAGATGCCCCGAAATCCAAGCATATCTTTCAATTTTGAACTTGTGGAAAACATAAATACGATCACTTACATCTATGATTCATCCTTAAATCTTTTGAAGTCTTTGAAAATTTCTAAGAAATAATTTTTGATTAAAAAAACTTCTCAACAAGCAAGCTTTTTCATTCCAACTATTTTTCTTTTATTAATCACAAAATTACCGGTACAGAAAATTAGTATAATTTTAAACAGATGAACAAATAACAATTGTAGCTTTATTAGCACTAACAATAATGTAATTAATTAGAGATTTAAATAATTTGAACTTAATAAATATGTTTAAATGTTAAGTGTTTAAATATAATAAAATTAAATAATGATACTAGGAAATGAATAGAAATTTAATCGTCTATATGCATGCTACAGATAAAACCTTAACTTTCGTGAAATTTCGATTTTGAATACAAAATTTGAAGAAATCCATGCCATGACATGCAGCACCGAATTGACCCTTTTTGTTGACTGCAACAATTGCGCCCCTAAAATTAGGATATTTGCGGGAAATGGCACGAATTGTTATTTCGGCAGCTTCTGTCGGTGTTTTACCCTCACGAATATATTGAACTGTTTGAAAGCTGCAATAATGCTCCTAAATTTGCATCGTTATTAAGAATTGGATAGTAAAGTAAATTATTAGGTATAAAATACAATCAAAGTAATAATTAACTAAATCGGTTTATTGCGACAAGAAATGCAATGACGAAAAACTATTAATTACAAAAAAAAAAAAACACCTGGAAACAAATCTCATCATAATATCACCATCACCGGTACTTACCGCACCACCAACATCATTATCAGCATATGCACCAGCACCTGGTATCGGTGAATCACCTATTCGTCTGAAATTAAATTAAAAAATGAAAACTGGAATGAACTTTTAAGTTTCCCATTAGTACTTCAATTGTTCGTATTATAAAATGTTACAAAATTTTATGGCTGCGAGGAGGATATGCAAACCATTCAATTAGATTAATTGAATCATTCGTAATTTAGAATGGAATCATTAGAATCATTAGATCAATAACTGAATCAATGCATTCGTTAATTCGGAATTTAAATCTACTTTTAAGAAAACATCAAATTCATCTTTTTCAATTTCAAATTTAACGATTGGAAAAATATGATCAATATAAATGCAAAATCTGAATTAAAAAAGAACTTCAAAATGTATGTGAAACTCCCATTAACTCTAACTTACTCGAACTTCTTAAATTTGATTTTTTCGTTTTAATATGCATCAAAATAAATAATTGTTTTTGAATAAATTACCCGGGAACTTTATGATTAGCACCATTGGTTGATGTACCAGCAGCAATATTATATTCGAAATCAATAACAATCATACCTATAGTATCATGATTACGACGATTAACCTAAATAGAGATTTACACATCACAAATTGTTTTAAATGATTATTCATAAATTTTAAAGATTAGATGAATTTCAAATTTTGACCTGTAAAAATTTGGTTTTCTAT